GCACCATTTACTGAAGAGGCTGTCTTCCAGTCTATTTTCTAGCACCCTTATCGAAGATTAGATGGCTAGAGGTCTGTGGGTTCAATTCTGGGTTTTCAGAAGTTAACTAAGTTTCAGTTGAATATTGTCCCATCCTGATCTGAGCATACAAAATAATCGCCATTGTTTTGCTCCTTGTCACCAGTATATAAAATGTCATTCAGTCACTCAACAAGCATTTTTTGAATGTTGATTTATAACCAGGCTATTGTTAGGTATAGGCAATACAGTAGATTGTTGAGAGGCCTATTGACAGTGCAGAAGAAGATGTGGTACATGCTATAAAATGAGGTGAATTCAGACACTGGGAACAGTATTGTTGACTGCTGTAATTACCATTCATAAAGCAATCCTTAGACCCAGTGCTGACTGTATAAGATGCCTGGACAGACCATTAGACATAAAGCTGCCCTGCAGTTCTACCCAGGAGGTGGTCCTTAGGGATGAATTTGAAGTTGATGATAGACTGCAGGCTGTCTGTGTTGGGGGAAAAGATAATGGTGTCAGCATCTGCAGAAGTTCACAGGGGTTTTATCATTAATTAGTGCTCCAAGCCAACAAAATGTGATGTCACTCATTAATCAACCTCTTTATGTCTTACCTTGGAACATTGTGATTCTTGTGATTCTTTTGTTTTACAGAAACTAGAAAAACTGCTTTTGGAATTATTTCTACAGTGAAGAAGCCTCGATCCTCAGAAGGGGATGATGATTCTTTTCCAGTCTGCAAGAAAGCTAAATGTGAGGGCTGAAGGGGATGACTCAGTCTGTAACGCTGCCTTCTTCCCTTCACACTTCATCCTCAATGGAAATAAAACTTTTGCAAGATAGATTGTTTTCATTTAAAGCTAGAAACCAAAATGTTATACTCAAGCCATCAAAACAACAAACAAAACCTAGCAAAGCAAGTCCTACAAGGCATGGTGGAATGGTGGTGTATACTATAATCTTAGCAGCTCTGGTGTTCAGGGGCTGAGGCAGGAACAGCACTAGTTTTAGGATAGCAGGAAAACTTAGCAAGCTCTTACCTCAAAAGAAGAATTGTAGGGTTTGCATTTTTAAAAGGTATGTGGCAGGGGGAGTTTGAGGAGACTCACAGTGTAGCTCAGTGGAGGAGCATTTGTCTACAATGTATGAGGCCATAAGTTCAATCCCCAATACAAAAATAAGATAGATAGGTCTAGGGAAATTTTATTGTAACCTCACTTATGAATGCAGGTGCCTAAATAAACTATGAGCAAAGAATAACCATTAAAATGGGTGAGATTTTTTTCCATGAATATAGAATAGTTCAATACTTTAATTCTTTCTAATATACTTAAATGAGAAATATATAATAATATATGTAATAAATGAGAAAAATCAGAATGTTTTAATAGATATCAAAAAGATTATTTCTAAGATATAGCTTCACTCCTGATTTTATGAATAGTAAAACTGTTAGCAAGTACAAGGCCTAGTTGCACACAGTAGCACTTGGGAAGCTAAGATGGGAGGATTGTGAGTTCAAGGCCAACGTAGAGTACATAAGAACAAAAGCAAAATAAAACTTGTCAGAAATGCAAATAGAGGGAAATTGGACACACACACATGTATAAGGGTATGTGTGTGTGTTCATATATGTATTAAGAAGTTTGGTTCTAAAAACATTGACTCCACTGGAATTCATGAGTGAGTATTTATTTACAAGTCTGTACCAAATGAATTTTAATACTATAAATTTGGCAAGCTAATTTAAAGACTGAGTTAAGAGGGTCAGAGAATTCGCAGCTAAGTTGATGCTTTGATACTCTGGTTTCTCATCAGATCATAGAAATCTTTCACCTTTAACCAAGTTGATGCTTTGGAAAGACTTAGCAAAAGGTCATAGGGGGTAGAGCTGTGGCCCAAGTGGTAGAGCACCAGTCTTGAGTAACAAAGTCAAGTGACAGCATCAGCCTGGAGTTGCAACAAAAAAGGCCAGTTATTAAAAAGAATGACCATCAGCTCTGCCTCTCGCCTTCAGCAGATTGCAGCTTTCATGCAGTGCCGGCCATCCTGCTGGTGACCATCAGGGTTACAGCTGTGGGTCAGGTGGGTGGCCAGCACTCTGCTTTACCCTCTGGGAAAGTGGATATTGTTGCTATCAGTGACCCCTTCATTGACCTCAGCTTCATGGTCTGCTGGTCTCCACCTATCACAAGTTCAGTGGCACTGTTGAGGCTAGGAACAGGAAGCTGTCAACAATAAGAAGCCCTCCTTCAAAAGAAATCCTACCAACACTAAATGGGGTGATGCTGTAGAGTCCTCTGGTGTCTTACCATCCAGAAGAGGTTTTCTGTTCCCTTCTGGTGTGCTTATGTTTGTGATGGGCAAGAACTATGGAAACTACCACAATTCATGTAATAGTATCAGTACATCTGCCCCCGCCTCCCAGCTGCTTAGCCTTCCTGGCCAAGGTGGTCTGTCACAACTTCCACATTACAGAGGGAATTACAGAGCATCATGCCACTCAGAAGATCATGGACAGCCCCCTTTGGAAGCTGGTATGACAGTTTTCAGACTTTCCAGAACACCCTTCTATCCATTGGGGCTATTACACTGGCCCAGACAAAAAGACCCTATCTCATAATAGCCAGAGTAAAATGGCTGGGGGAAAGAGGGCAAGCAGTAGAATGTATGCCTAGCAAGTGCAAGCCTCTGCATTCAAACTCCAGTACAACCCAAAACTATCTGAGCACTGGTGGCCTGAAACCCTAGCTACTCAGGAGGTTGAGCTCTGAGGATCATGGTTCGAAGCCAGCTGAGAAAGTGACATGAAAGTGTATGAGACTCACGCATGACAGATACTTTTTAGTGTCTGCCCCGATCTCCTTCCCAGTTGGCAAGCCTATCCTCTGGATGCTTCCAATGCTACATACTAACGCAGCTTCACCTTTCCCCAGAGCCTTTCCTGAGCTGAAAGGAGTCTCTGTGTCCAGAATTTTGCTCTGTGAATCTGGCCCATACCAGTGAGTGGCGCTGAACCTTCATAGCCCAGCCTCTGACCTCTAGGGCACAAATTTTGATCCCAAGCACCTCGAGGGGATTAGGCTAAAAATTCCTTTCTCTTGAAGCCAACTTTGCTTCATTTCTGCCCTGTCTTGTTCCATCATTAAGTAAATCACTTGCACAAGAATCCTCATTTCAAGAGCACCTGACTTAGAAGAAAATTGGAGCAAGTTAAACCCCCTTCCCCAAAATATCCAATAAACATAAACACTTGAATTTACTAGGTTTGGGGGGGAATCAAAAACACTTTTGCTGGTCATATTGAACATATTTTAATATTCATCTATTCCAGGAAGGCTGAGAGGAACGATTTTTCTCACCAGCGGTCTTAGCACATGGTTTATAATCTGACAACAAAACAGCTCCTACTGGCAGTCAGAAATTATTGACGTCTCCTGGAATGCCTTTGACCTACCAGCCCAGGTTCACAGCATAGTGATTGATTGATAAACACCTGAGTAGACTCAAACAATAATGGAACGTAAACTTTTTTAACTTGCAGAAACTACTGTGGCCACAAGGGGACGCTTTTGCCACACCATTGAAGGGAAAGAACTCTGAATAGTTACTGCCTTAGGCTTTGCTGCTTTTAGTGCAGAAATAAGGACTCCCTAGAAATAAGGACTCCCAGGTCCCCACCTGAGACCAGTTGAATCCAAACCCACATTTAACAAGATCACCAGGTGATCTGTGTTCATATTTTATACTGATTATGCTATTTATATAGGGAGTTCAGATAAAATGATGTTAAGCGAAATGAACCCCAAGATAGGGACACAAGTGGTTTTTTTTCTTTTCTTGCTATTGTTTCTAATGTATTTATAAGGTACCATGCGATTTTTTTGTTACTTTGTATGTCCCTCCCCCATGGTATAACCCCTGTTTTCACTGTATTTGATGTTGGTATAATTTTGGGGAGGGGAAAGGAAAAAACAAATTGTTTAAATAGGGATATAGGTTGACCCATTGTAACAATGAGATGTATAAGACGTTATGCTAAAAAACGAACTTTACAATTTAGGGGGGGAGGGGAGTGTAGTTGAGGAGGTGGGAAAACGAACTTTACAATTTAGGGGGGAGGGGAGTGTAGTTGAGGAGGTGGGAGGGAAGAGATGGTAGGGGAAAAACAAAGGAAGAGGCAACAATGCTTGATAAGAAATGTACTCATTATCTTGCTCATGTAACTGTAACCCCTCTGAATAGAAGTTTCACAATAAAAAAAATTAAAAAAATAAACCTTCCTAAGTGGACTTTCTTACATGGGACATTTCCATCATACTGACAAAGGAACTTAGAAAGAGGTTTTGAGTTTGCTTTTATTATGAATACAAAATATACATATAACACAATGTACATTTATACATTTATACTTTACATTTCCTGTCATCTTTTTTCATTAAACTCAATGGCCCCATTGACCACTCCCTCCACTGCACCCTCATGACATTCTCTTCACCTTGGTGTATAGTGTGACTCAGTTAAAAAAAAAAAGCCCACCAGGCCTCAGGGTCAAATGGCTGGCTTCCATGTCCCCTTCAGAGGTGGATTGGCTTTACTGTCCCATCCACAGAACTGCTTTTGTCCTCTTGTTATTCTTCCCTGTCTCTACCTGTCTTCCATTGCTTCATTCAAATATCACCATTAAAAACTCAGAAGAACAGATGGAGGCAATAACCATCCTTGTCTTTTGAAAATACCTTGAAACATTGTATGTGAGTGAGGACACATAAGTAGGCACTTGGCACGTTGCTCACTCTACAATTTTATCTATGAGAAGGTTTGAAAGTGTTAAATACAAATGAAGTTTTGCTCACCAAATGGATGTTCGTGCAATTATGCATCTCAAGGCCATTGAACAAATAAGGAGGAATAAATAAACACAGACTATGAGTTTCACTAAAGGAAATTTAAATGCCTATCAGTGCACTTTCTGGGACATCTTCATAACAAGTTGATGAATAAAAGCTGGATTTTCTAGCTAGTGGCTTTTGGGCCATGCTTTCAAAATGCCAATGAAGAACTCCCAGTGTGAGAGTGTGGGTCTCTTAGAATGTCACTATGCGAGAGGTTTTGTAGGCGCTGTCCTTGAGACTGTCAAATATTGCTTTGGTTCCATTCTGCCAGTGCAGCACCAGATCCATTGGGGTCTTCCCAGCCTAGTCAAAAGAGAAGAGGAAACCCAAAATGTTCCTGTTCATACTTTCTCTCTGTGTATCCTACTGAGGTATAGTGTAGTTGTGATAGGGTTTCCACTATGAGTAATCTGCAATTGATTCAAACAACCCTCACTGGGCTTCATGGAGTGCTTTTAGTGCTTTACATTGGCTTCCCCTCCCCTCACCATGGAACAACCCCAGGTATTGGTAAACATCCCTCTAGACTCTAAGTGGCAAGAACAGTCCAATGCCTATAGACATCTCCATATGCTGTAGGATGGGCTCTGGGAGGTGGCTACATACCTCTCAATCATCTTGATTTGGGAGGAAAAAAAGGTTTTGAATTAATAAGAATTAGAAATCAATGGTGCTGCTGCAGCACCCTAGGTTAAATACTCCTGAGCTGCCTCTGAAGGCACTTTTCACAATTCTTTACTAATTTATACTTATTCTTCCTGCTGGTATTTTTTAAACTCATGGTAAATAATAGTGTCTAAGAAGGAAAACCACGAGGGAAAGTTGCTTACATTCCCTTCTTTCAGATGAAATTAATAGGCACTCGTGTACAATTTTTTTAGGACCTAAATATAAGAAACTATTTTGAGCCAGGTGCTGGTGGCTCACACCTGTAATTCTCAGTAGCTACTCAGGAGGCTGAGGTCTGAGGATTGTGGTTCAAAGCCAGCTGCAGTAGGAGTACCATAAGTGGCACTGTGGCTCAAGTGGTAGAGTGCTGGCCTTGAGCTGAAGAGGTGAGGGACAGCGCCCAGACCCAGAGTTCAAGCTCCATGACCAACAAAAAAGAAAAGAAAAGAAACTATTTGGAGATGTGCATGTTTTAAACCACAGTAGAGAATGGGTAGAAGTCATCTGATAAATACCAGCTAAATCACCGCTGACACAGAATGGTAGCATTGTACATTGTTCTAAGGAGAGAAGGACTAGCCTGAGTTATTCAAATCGGATATAGGTTAATTTAAGTTCATTATTACTAACCACTGTGATATTTTAGCCCTCTTCAGAAATGGTGGAGGGCCAAATCCCTACCTACCCTAGGTTCTCAGCTAGGAATGAACAAGGCAGACTGGACTTCCCCAAGAAGCATATTCTGACCTTTTATTTTTCAGGACTGAATTTTTCAAAGAGACATGGTATTCAGTAGTAACTCTCCCCTCCTACATTTCTGATCATATGACTCACTTCCCTCGTCTCTTGATCACATGACCCAAATCCTCCTCCAAGTGTGCCCCTTATGGAAATGACCAGGAACATTTAAACAAATAGATGTCCACCCGGCCCCACCCCCAAATACTACTGTGATGGACTATGTTTAAGAAATTCTCGAAATGAAGCAAGCCTGCCAAGGACGTCCTTGTTCTGGCTACTTACACAGTTCTTGATGTTGAGGTCAGCACCATACATGATCAACAGCCTGATCATCTTGTAACGATTCAGTCTCACGGCGTCATGCAGGGGTGTGTCTCCTTCCTAGAAAAAGCCCCACCAAAGGCTTGGCGGATGGTCTGAAGCCAGGATATGTCTCCCCCCCCCCCCCCAGGGCATTCAAGCTTGGCCAGGTGATTCCAAAGCTGTGCTGAAGCCATTGGAGGTGGAGTTGTGCAGGCTACTCACCCGGTCCTTGGCGTTGAGGTCTGCCTCACAGGCGATGAGGTGCTCCGCGCACTCGTAGTGGCCGGTCCTCACCGCCACGTGCAGCGCAGTGCTGAGCAGCTGGGAGATGGGAAACAGGGCTGATTCCTGGGGAGTGAGGACAGACACTGCCCCATACACCAGGCAGGTGTGTCTGCCCATCACCTGCTTCCAGACTATCTCAGTGCACAGTGGGTTAGGAAGTATGCACGGGGGTGGGGTGGCAGAGGGTAGGGTAGGGAGGGGAAACAGGGAGGGGGCATACCTTATCTCTGGCACTAATTCTGGCACCTTTGTTCAGCAACAACTTTAAGACATCCAGGTTTCCTCCACGGCATGCCCAGTGGATGGCTGTAGATTCAAGCTATCCAGGAAGGTAAAAGGACAGGACTGGGTAAAGGAGAAGCAGATCTGAAGATTCAGACGTGGGCTGCAAGGCTCAGGAGAGCACAGGTTTGCTATGGTGTCTGCGACTAGCCTGGGTGGCTCTCAACTACCCGGCCACTTGTAACTTGTGGTTGAAGGTTCTTGCTAAATGCGTGTGTGCGTGTGCACTCATGAGTGTGCATGTGTGTCATTCATAACTACAGTAACATTCCAAAATATTTTAATCTAGGTCTGAAGCACCCTGGGCGGGGAGGGATGTCTCTGTTGCTCTTTGCCCATCCCTCGGCTTTGTCTTATGCTAGGGCGATCTCTTCCCTGTAGTCACGGTGCATTGTGGGCCTGAAGAAGATGGACTTCTCTCTGCCCTATTTGCCACCTCTGACCATTCAGATTTCACATTCACATTTCATTATCATTTTTGGGTTTTTTTAGTGTCTTTAATTTTTTAAAATATGTTTGGTCTTTGGATCCAGTTTGAACTAATCCCTTTCGATTCTTTCTTCCTTTTCCTTTGTTTGGTCAGTTGTGGGGCCTGGACTCTGGGCCTGGGCGCTATCCCTCAGCTCTTCAGTTCAAGACTAGTGCTCTACTACTTGAGCCACAGTGCCACTTCTGACTTTTTCTGCGTATGTGGTGCTGAGGAATCGAACCCAGGGCCTCATGTGTGCAAGGCAAGCACTCTACCACTGAGCCACCTTCCCAGCCCTTTTCCTTTTCCATCTTGCCATGAAGATGTTAAGGGGAGAAGTTTCCCATCTCACTCTTCATTCCATCAAATACGCTGTATCTACACAAGTCTTTGTAGAAATCGCAGTAGGTGAATTATTAAGGTCTGAAAAGCAACTACTTTCCCTTCAATGCAACTCATTTAGTTTGCAGTCTAGGTCCAAATCTCACTGACAGCAATTGGCATCTATCATACAAAGGGTGCATGTAGAGAATCCTTACACATTGCAAGGGGCCACGAGCAGGCTGCCATATATAATGGAAGAACAGGGTTGTTGAAAGGAAAGGGTCAGCTGCATTACTTCTTAGTGATGCCACTGACGTGATAATGACCCAAGTTCCTGGTGAGGTTGTTGAATTCTGTTGGGCGGCTTTCACTTCCTCCCCTTTTCTGAAACACTTCACCTTCTCAGTATGTATGAAAATACCTTCCACATGACCTGGTCCCATCTCCCAACTTTCCTTTGTATGAAGAAATGAGTTTTTGCCTAGCTCTCTCAGATCAATTTTCAATCCAATTGGGCTAGCTTTTTTATTTTTTGGTAACTTTTCTTCCATCTACTTACTTTGGCTCATTTCCAAGCCAAGAAATATACTTACCATATCACGGAATTCGATCTGGGCTCCAGCTTGTATTAGCTTTTCCACAATTGCCAAATGTCCTTCCAAGCATGCTCTATGAAGAGCAGTCCGTTTATACTGTCAGAGATGTTTAAAAAAGATAGCAATGCGTATATAAATACACATAATCCTTTAAGAGGCATGAAGCTAAGGGCTCTGATGTCCTAACAGATAGACACTTCAGTGCTTCTTTATGAATTAGAAACACACAGTTTACTAGAATTTCAGACTTAGAACAATTATCTTGCACCCAGAAGTTGAGCATCTTGCCATAATAAATTTCTAAGTGGTCAAAGACCGACATTGAGACATGTGAACTCTTGTTTGTGGAGCATTTCAAACAGGTTTCCCCCCCCCCATTAAGAATTATTTCTAGATTAAATATGGGAAAAAACCAACTTCATTCATTTTTAAGAAAACAAAAGTATCCATTTTTGTAGGATCTCCATTTTAGTTCATAGGGAAAGAGCTAATGATTTCTGGTAAATTGATTCTATTGAAAGAATTAATAGACTAGTAGAGCTGGTACTACTTTAAGCATTTATTTTACTCTAGTGGCCTATGCTTATATATAAGGAAATTGAGGTAAGAAGAAAGTAGATGAGCTGCTCAAAATCAAATACAGTAGACAAGTAGTGGTAGAGCCAGAACCTGAATCTCATTTTCTAGATTCTCTGCCTAGTGCCCATGTATATTTGTTCAAAGATGATGCTAATAATGTTCAAACTAATTTCTGACCCTGCCTTATTAAGGGTCTACCCCCAAATTCTAAAGAAGTTAAAGATAAACTGCTCTCATATAAACCAGCTAGAATTATGTGAGTACACAAAAAATAATAAGAAATATAAAAGCATTAAGCTATATTTTTGTAGTGCTTAGTATCAGCCTTACCTCATCACAAACATCTGGGTTGTTCTTATCTGACAAGAATTTTTCTACTACTGGCACTTTATTCTCCAGGGCAGCCTTCAGAAACCTAGGTACATCCACAGGTTCTGTCTAAAGTAAACACACAAACAAAGAGTATGGAAGTTGCTTCCAGATATCCAGTCAACCCCCTTACCCTCCATGCTCACCCCCTTTAGCATAACACAGCCACCCACAAATCCCAGTAGTTCTTACAATGATTTCAGGTTCTGGTTCCTTCACAACTGGAACTTTAGCTTTCCTGTACTTTTTCTTTTTCTTCAGTTGAATGATGAGTTCAAGGTCTTCTAAATTTTCAAGCTTGGATCTCTGTTCTAGTTTTTTCTTTTTCAGCTAAGAAAGAAATCCATAGTTTAAAAACAAAAAGAATCCTACTGACATACTCTCTGGTGGTGTCTAAACAATACCTGCAGGGTCTCAGGTAATTAGATGGATGGTTTGGGCAAAAGAAATGAAGTAAATATTTGATTTCAGTCTATATTTTATGTCCAGTTATTTGATTGTCTTATTCTTGATTTCGTTACTTATGGAGTCAGCCTTTGGTTTGTTGGAAATTCAATCTAGCTTCTAAATGAATTAATTTTGGAATTAATACTACAAACAAGCCCCAGATTTCTGTAGTTTTTTTTTAAATCATGGTCAAAGATGAAATTGTTTTCTAACCCCAAATAATCTAACAATAAACAAATTCTAAAATGTCATTGTCACTCTCTTTCAGGTGTCTATTTGTTGGGGGAGGGTATGTGTCTGGAAAAGATTATCCAGAGACAGTTCCCCACCACCAGCTAACTAATGCACTTTTTAATCTGTATTAGTAGCTAAAGAAAATGTAACAAACATGTGGCATCAATAGATAGCAGACACGGTGTGACATTGATCCATGGACCACAAACCAATTTATTCAGAAAATGATCTCCTTTGTTTGAGGTTAAGTAGATGATTTATGGCGCCGGAAATTCACTTAACACAACTGTCTTTCCAAGCCTGTCTTTCAATCAAAGCATGGTCCTAGCACATTAGATCATAGATGTGGAATGCAGAGGTGATGATCTTACTTAAGTATTATTTCCCAGCCAGGCACCAGTGGCTCATGACTGTAATCCTAACTACTCAGAAGGCTGAGATGTAAAGATCATGGTTTGAAGCCAGCCTGGCAAGAAAGCCAATTGGAAAGTTATCTTCAATTAACAACCAAAAAAGCTAAAGAGGTAGAGTGCTAACCTTGAGAGGGAGGGGAAAAAAAGCTCATGGATAGCACCCAGACCCTGAGTTCAAGCTTCAAACCCCAGGAACAGGAAGGATGAGACAGAGAGAGGGGGGGGGAGGAAGGAGGAAGGGAGAGGGAGAGGGAGAGAAAGGGAGAGGAAGGGGGAGGGAGAAGGAGGGAGAAGGAGGGAGAGGGAAGGAGAGGGAGAGGGAGGGGGAGGGAGGAGAGAAAAGAGAAGGAGAGAGGAAAAAGGTAGAGAGAGGGAGGGAGAGAGGGGGAAGAAAGAGGGGAGAGAATTACTTCCCAAATCTGTCTCACATACATTAACTTTGGTAAACATCTTTGGATAGAATGGTTTTATTTTCTCTCCTTCTCTCTAGCTATACCCACCCCACCCAGCCCCAAACTCCCAGTGGGAGTGGTCTTATGGAAGGTTCTTACCTCTGCCTCTCGCTGCTTCTCATTTTTCCACTGTTGCTCCCCCAGGCTCACATGGTGGGTGGGGAGTGTCTTTAGATCCTCCTGTTTCTCCAAAGTGACAGCAGCTTCATATTCTCCATCTCTGAAGTCCTCAGGGAGGAATTCCCCTGCCTCCCCATTGCTGTTTTTCTTCCCAGTGACCTACAAGGAAAGGGTGGTGGGGTCAGGAGCGGTGGGGGTCCCCACAGAATTCTAGGTGAGGCCTTGTGTCCTTGTTCCTTGCTAATGGCCACGAGACAGAGATTCTGTCTCAGATCTCAGCTGCAACAAGTAGCTATAGATAGCCCAGAATAGCTCCAGGTGCTTGTCCTTAAATAAAGTCCTAGGTCAGGTTGAAATATTTTAATTTACTTTTAATAGACATTATCACATTTCTCCTAAGAAATTCACATGCCCCCACACTTAAATTTCCTTTTCATTCTTTTAGGTAATTTTGGTAACTCTTGCCTTTGAATTATACAATTTCCATGCATTATCCTAAGGCATTTTGATAACTATATGTAATTCCACAGTCTAGTCATAAAACAAATGAAGGAGATAATAAATAGGACCTATGCAGATAGTTCATTATTGGCAACTCCATTTTTTTTCTCATTACACAAAGCAACCTTTTTCCTCATATGACATTTTCAGACTTTCCCTTTCACTATGCCTGAAAGAAAAGAGCATTTCCACTCTCAAATAAAACCCAAGATGCAGCAGTTTTCACTGTTTTGAAAGAATGTGTCTTACATACCAGCTCCTCTACCTTCAGCATCATCATGCTGGTGGCGGTGAGTGTGTCTGTATGTTTTGCTCCTGTGGAATGAAGCCCTGGAAATGGCCCTGTCCAGCGCCTCCAACACCACTCAGCTTATATAGCTTGGGCTGGGTGAGATAATCTTCCAACCTGGGAACCCAAGTTAAACCTCCCCCGCCCCCCCACCGCACTGATGGCCAACTCAGAGGCAGGTGAATTTTCATTCCAGACTTGGTGTCTGGGAAGCTCAAGAGGGAGGGAGGTGACAAGCTGGCCACACTGAATATGTGAATCAGAAAGAAATGTGAGAGGGCCATTCCTTTGGCAGTGACCACACCGCTCAGCAATGCAAGTCATCCTATTTATCGGGAAGCGGGGACAGCTGTCCCTTGATATTGCACCACACATCACTGCTCCTTTTCCTTCTTTGTCAGCTTTCATATGACTAACCTATCAAGAAACTGTGATGTCCTGTGTATCATCCTCCTACTAATATCTTTCTGATAACTGGAATTATCAGCACTTCACTTGGGGGATGAGCTATCCTATCCTCATGGGTAAACAGCCCTAGAGGAAAGGATCAGGGTCTCAGTGGCACTTGTCTATATCTGTTTGGAATTCTCTGGAGTGATGTCTGGGGCTAAAATGGCCCCATGACATGCCACCTTACCATCATTTTAAGAAATTGAAAGCATTCTGTAATGCACTTTTATTTCATGGTGTCACTGGCCAGAATTAGCATATGACATGCTGCGTTCTAAAACAGAATAGGAACTGGAGCATTTTTCTTTCAAAATGGATCATAGTAGTCCAGAGATAGATTATATGAGATGGTGATTAGCCAAAAGCATGACCTTGATTCAGTCATTGAGAGCACTCAGAAATGTTGTGGGAAAGAGTCTCTGGGGCAAGCTTGTCAAAAATGCAATTTTTAGTCTTTGGTAACATCCTTGCCTAACATGTGTGAAGCCCTGGATTCTATCTCAGTGATAAGGAAAAGGAAGAGGAAGAGGAGAGGGAAAAAGGAAGGAAGGAGGGTAGGTGAAGGGGAGGGAGGGGGTGAGGAAGGAAGGAAGAAGGAAGGAAGGAAGGAAGGAAGGAAGGAAGGAAGGAAGGAAGGAAGGAAAGAAGGAAGGAAGGAAGGAAGGAAGGATGGTTTCCCCGCCTCACTTCAGGAATTTATGGTGAGTCCTCCTAGAACCTATTTTTTTTTCCAAAGCACCCAAATGATACTACACAAGATCTAAAACAAAGGGCCAGAGAGGCAATAAGCTTTGTTTTGGAGAAAGGTGTAAAAGACCTTTCTGGTTTTTCTTCTCTGAGGTGTTAAGTTGTGAAAAATATTGAGGCTTTCCCTACAGTTCAGGGAGAAACTGAGGTTACTTGCCAAAGCCATTTAAAATCTTATTTTTCAAATAAAAGAAGAATGAAAAAAAGGGCATATTAGTGGAAGATGGTATAAATTACAATGTTTTTTTACTCTTTTGTGTGTATCTCTCCTCAAACTTTACCATTCAACAAATGTAACTGCCTTTCTTGTCTTGCCCCTCAAAATGATCAGCTGATGTGTTGTACTTCTTGAACTTGGAGAGTGAAAAATTGCCTTCCAAATGGAAAGAGTACTGAAGGAGGATCTTCTGAATGACTTGTGCTGTGGGTTTTCTGTTCTAATGTCCTATCATACAAGAGAGATGATTAAAGGAAATCTCCCAGATAGATATACCCTATTCTGCTCATCAGAAACAGAAATCAATGAGCCCAGATCAGATTTCTTATAGCAGTTCCTACCAAGACCCAGTGCCCAAACAAAACTGATTAAAAGTCTCTTTGGTGCTCAAGTCAACTCAAAGAATACAAAATGGTTGGGAAGACTAACCCAGCTCCCCAGCTCCCCAGCTCTTTGCTCCTGTAGTCATATCTGGCTGCTTCCGTACAGTTCCAAGAAAGTTTGCAAATAATTCCACAGGAACAAGTGATGGAATGAGCTGGGATATATTCCAGGCTAGCAAAATCACTGCTGGGTCAATCTTTCCTAGTGCTGACCCAGTTCATCATTATTAAGGGAGAATCCATTTTTTGAGGGTTTTGTATGTATGGTTAAATGAACCCAAGGCCTAACACATGCTAAGCAAGTGTATTAGCACTGAGCTCCAACCCCAAAGACGAGCTTTTTGAAAATATATTTTAGACATTGTATAAGGCAAAATTGTATTTTCAAGCCATTCTTATCCATCAACATTGAGATTAAAATTTCTCAATAAGAGAAATGCTCTCTGTGATTTATTTTAAGGGGCATCCCTGAGATTAAAAAAATTCACCTGGAAGATACATTTTTACAATTGTTGATTTCATTTCATCAGAGCCTCAAACTAGGCATAGGATGAATTAAAACAACACAGCTCCTAATTGGATCTCAAATCATTTAACAGCGCATTGTTATACATCTTTGGCCAGAATGAGTAAAGAATGATCCTTAAGCTCTGCTAGTATTACTGTACATGCATTTCAATGGGGGAAATGAGAAGTAAGCAGAATTATAACCCTGCTTATGGAAAGAGAAAACTAGAGGTGAAGAAGGAGATCCTGAAGCACTTATTGCTGGCATCTAGGAATGAAAAAGGTACCTAGATACCACCTGAGGTTCATGTGCCAGACCTTAGTGACAAGGACAATTTTTGTCTTTCTTCATACAGTGTGGGAATATTCTATTTTTCTTTTCTGTTTTTATTCGTGTGCTAGTACTGGGACTTTAATTCAGGGCTTCACATTGTCTTGCTTAGCTTTTTTTTCTCTCAAGGCTGGTGCACCTACCATTTAAGCCACACTTCCATTTCTGGTGTTTTGATGGTTAACTGGTGATGAGTCTCATCTGCCTGGGCTGGCTTTGAATCTCAATCTTCAGGTCTCAGTTTATAGACATTAGCTACCACCATCACACAACCTGGTATAGTTTAACTATATAGCTAATAAGTGTATGGTTGTTAAAGATTAAAATAGCACAGAGAGATTGTTGCTAGGTTGAGATCTCACTGACTGTTGATCTGATCTTTGGTTTTTCTTCACAATAATCTCTTCGACAGTATCTTCTATCAGCACAAACAACTCTCGTTGTTTTAGACAACTAAATGGTTTTCATGTGTGGGTAGAGCATTTCTTATTTTCTACTTCCCTGTTATGAACATGCAGGTCATTTGAGGGCATGGTTGAGAGAGGGTCTCAGCTGGCCTTCAACTCACAATCCTCCTGTCTCAGCCTCCTTGGTGCTAGGATTACAGGTATGAACCATCTTGTTCAGACTCTCAGGAATTATTTTTATTTGCTGTAGTTTTATAATGCATAAGATTTTACTGTTATTGATATTTCTTGTCCTTAAAACACCTAAGTCAACACTAAAAGGAAAAGTCCAAGGACTGTAGCCAGATTCTGACTTGGAAGACACCTTGTTCCACTGTTGTACTTCTAATCACTCATTTGTCATTCTTCTTAAGAGCTACCCAGGCCCAGCTGTTGTCTACCTTCCTTGGCTCAGAGAAGTGCTGACATAGCCTGCCTAGGAGTCCAAGCCTCCTTTGAGCCAAGCATAGCTCAGTTACACATTCAAAAATGCCAAAGGGAGGTCAGGAAAGTGAAGCAAGCAGAGCTTGAGTTGAAAGCCGGGAATGGAATCACCTGACTTTAAGAAACAGAGATGTACTGGGAACCTATAGAACAAAATGATAGCATCATTGTGACTTCATTTCTTAAGGACAGAGGACACACTAAAATATTTCTACCCAGAGTCCTGGGTAAGAGCCAATTGGACTGCTCACCTCAGAGATTTCCTTTTCTCAATGCTGGAGGCCTTCTGACACTGGGGGTAAAGGCTGGAGGTCTCAGCCCTTCCCTCACCTTCTAGCAGTTGCCTTGTCACACACAGTAAGTAATGAGTTTCACTATAAATTCCATCATACATGTGGAAAGAGCAACACAAGTGATCTATAAATTCAGAGAAGCATGGTCCTCTGCTCTGGACAATACAAAGTCTGACACAAAAAGTATACTCAGAGCTAATGCAACTGCATGCTAGCTAACAGCACCAGGCTCCACTCTAGGACTGGAAAGGCATAGGCAAAAGGAGCTAACGGAATATTTAAATGAGACTCAGCAAGAATTTTACTTTCTTTCCCACTCCCCTTTTATTAAAAAGTGTGTCAGTGCTAGTGGTAATAACAAAGATCTTCTACTTATAAGGGTGATGCTGGAGCTCTCAGTTCACTAACATCTTTCAAAGGCTCACTAAATCCAGCTGGAGCTCCTGAGAACAGAATTACCAACATCTGAGGGCAGTGGTTTTAAAGGATGGGTGCCACTTAAAAGACACTTTGAAGCTTTGTTTTTCAAATGCCTTTGGCACCTGTGTGAGTGGGCTAGCCCTGTGGTCTTACCTACTCAGGAGGCTGAAATCTGAGGATCACAGTTCCAAGCCAGCCCAAGCAGGTAAGTCTGTCATCTATGAGACTCATCAATTAGCCTTAAAAAAAAAATAAATTGGATTGTGGCTCAAGTGGTAGAATGCTAGCCTTGAGGGGAAAAAAATGCTCAGGGACAATGCCCAGGCCCTGAGCTCAAGTCCAGAATGGTGCTTGCATGCACACACACACACACACACACACACACACACACACACAGAGTGCTCATGCTCCTCACTCCTCTACGGGTGAGGGAGTGGGTGGGCAGTTGTTTTCATTTGGAATTTTAACTACTCTGGAGGGCTAACCATTTGGAGAATGACAGTTTGAGGCTAGCCCTAAAGAAAAGTTCATCTCAATGGATAGCTGGATGCTACTTGTTTCTTATGTATTGTCTCAGAACTCTACAATGCCGGCTCGAGTAGTAGAGTACCTACCTAGCAGGCATAAGTTCAAATCCCATTATTACTAGAAACATATAAATAAATATACATTTATGTCCAGGAGATGAAATCTAAAGCTTTGTACTACAGACTAGGTATGGGGACTTAAAAAGTTTTCCAAAGGATTCTAATTTCCACTCCAGGATAAAGGTTTAAGTGAATATCTATGTAAATGCATCACTCATGTGCCTACTCTAGAAAGAGTAGTAGACAGTAAAACTATCCATATCCTGGTATCATAAGTTTGATCGTTGGAGACCCTATCTTTACTAAGACTGAGAAACACACACATAACATTTACCCATGCAAGGTCAGGAATGGTGCTCCCAGATAAAGCACTTGTCTAGCATGTTGCAGTCCCTATCCCCAGTACTGAAAAAACGCATTCGATATTATA